TAGCCGACCTGTGACAATGATCTAAACCCAATAACAAAACCATAAAATATTGCAGCTTCCTGGTCATTAGATGTGGTGACTGTATTATGATTTGTTTTCCTTTAGTTTTACCCAGTGATCCTGCCAGTAACACACTTCCTGTCCTAGGGTGACAACAATCACTCTTTTTGTGCTGTGTCTGTGGAGGAGCATGGTTATTACCCTGGGACAGAAAGTATGCTAAAACTACAGATCACCTCCCCCTCCTCAGCTCCATTATCTAGAGAGGAGGTGTTTTGTAATTCACAAAGATAACTGGGAATAATGTAACTGATAAAGCTGGCCATCCAGTGGACGAAATTTCAGCCAAGTCTTGCTGACTTGGCCGAAATTTGAAGTGTGTGGCCCCGTCAGGAACTGTGATCTATTAAAGGTAACTGCCTTTTAAGTCTTAAGCCGCATATACACTGTTATAAAGATGTTATGCCAGATTCCTCCATTCATTCTGTAGCTGTGCTATTTTGACAATTGGCCCTGGCTGCTGTCAATACCTGAACAGTGCCTGCATCTGATTGGATCAGCCAAGAAGTTTCAGCCTGACTTCTTTGATTTTTCAATCCGAAGATGCCGGACGGGACCCCACAGATATAGAGCGAATTGCTTAACGGATTGGCCTACATTTGCTCAGAGTGTAGCCAGTTTTACACTTTAACCACTTGACGTCCGCGGTGTTAAACCCCCTTCCCATCCAGGCCATTTTTCAGTATTCAGCGCTGCAGTACTTTGACATTTATTCCGTCATGGAACGCTGTACTGAAATACATTTTACACCATTTTTTGGGGGACAGATAGAGCTTTCTTTTGGTGGTATTTAATTACCACTGGGGGTTTTATTTTTTTACTATATTAAGGAAAAATTACAGAATAAAAAAAACAAAAAACAGTTTCCCCTATATTAAATTCTAAAACATTTATTATTACCATTTTTTTGGGTAAAATATAAAAGACACCAAACATGTCAAGCCTTAAAATTGCACACGCACGCGAAACCTCAAAAAACGACATTACCCAAAATTGGCCATAGGCGACGCTTTAAAAGCTTTAACCGCTCATCAGTTTGTGTTTATCAGTGATTGATGGCCCTAAAATTATTGCTCACACTCCGACATTCGCGGCAATATGTAACGCGTGTAGCGCAATTGTCGTTTGCGTGCGCTGGCGCAACTGACACATATTTACGTTTTATGTGGTGGTGTCCTAATGTCACCTGGGGACCCCAAAAGAAGCTGATGAAGCAGAGATCTGCTTCATCAGCTTCTTCTCTCTGGCTATAGCAGCCAGATGACTGACAGGTGAATGCGGAAGTGATGTAATACACATCACTTCTGCATTCACAGCACAGAGGGAGTTCAGCAAGGAGGAAGATGCTGATCTCCTGACACCCTCCTGAGCGGGTCCCGGGCCGCAGATGGGGCAGCGGATCCCGGGATTGAAGGGTCAGGAATCTGCCCGTGCGCCCGCGAGCAGGAAAAAATGCCATCTGCAGACGGCAACCCGGAAATGGGAGTTTGCCGTCCGTTTTTTCACAACGGGCGGACGGCAAGCGGTTAACATTGCTTGGCATACATTCACTTTAACATGAAAGAATATATCTGATGCTAGGTTTACTTTAACAGAACTTTCCTAACTTTTACTAATTCATATTGACACTTGGAAATGCAGTGCAGCAACAAAGTTGTGATCGACCGTTCTTTAAAATAGTATTGTGGGAAAAGTTTACTAACAGCATTCATATAAAACAAATATTGCACCAAACTGTAACCCTCACCAAGGACAAGTATCCGATATAATTTAGCTCTTATTGTAATTCCCCACATGGCAGTAAAAACAAAGCACTCCGTTAAGGTACAAATAAGGGGAATTGGTCAAAACTGAAGTAGATAGAATCTGGAGCTTCTCTCTTCAGTTCAGTTAAAGTAATATTCATTTTTCATACCTTTTTTTTTTTTTTTTTTTTTTTTTTCCAATAATGAATCCAGATCAAACATATACATTGCTCAGCAAAGTATTTCTTTAAATGTGTGCCCAAGCAGCTGACTCCAACACTCTCAGCTTAGCTTCCCTGAACTTCCTGTTCAGTACAAGATCACAAGGGACAGCAAAGTCTCCAGCAGCTGCCCATCTACTAGGTTGGAGGAGGGAGAAGAAAGGGAAGAGCATGGAGTAGGGGAGAGGCTTGCTTTGCTGTATCGGTGTGTTTTTGTAAACATACAGCTTACTAACGCACTAAAGGATGGCTCCACAGGACCCTGCAAGGGAAAGGAAGCACCCTAAGGCCCCGTTCACACGAGGGTGGTTCGGCCGCTCAGATTTTTCTGCGCTGAACTGCCAACATGAACGATCCCATACATTGCTATGGGAACCGTTCATGCGGTTCCGTGCGATCCGAACCGATTGCCGCCCGAAATGCTCTGAGCCTTTTGTTTGCACTGATTAGCGCGGTTTCCATATAGATTTCAATGGAACCCCACTGACCAGCGCGGTTTTGGCGTTTTTAATTGCGTTTCACCACTGAAACGCAATTTAAAAACACCCAAAAACCGCCCTTTTAAAATTTGTGCTGAACCGCATCCGCCATGGTGTGAACGGGGCCTAAAACAGGATATCGGGGTCAGTGTTCAGAGGACCAGCTGATTCTGCAGGAAACTAAAACTTTTAAACATCAAGGAGCAGCATCCATTGAGAGTGATTTAATCCGCGTTTGAAATGCATTAAAAACCTCCTTTGGACTTTAATATCACTTTAAGTTTTGGAAATGAAAGATAGAGGCTGATTGGTTACTATAGGCATCTGCTCCAGTTTTGATCAATTCCCCCAGTGATGTTCTGAGCCCTTTCTCAAGGTTGGCATGAATGACCGTTACTCCATGCTTGAGGGAGAACCCAGTGCAGCTTGAAACATCACTCTAAGTACCGTAAACAGGGTGCTTTGTTTTTACTGCCATGTGATGAACTACAAAAAAATAACTATTTTTAATGGATACAAGTCCTTGGTGTGGGTTACAAAGTGTGTGAAATTGTTCTGACTCCGTGCTGCCAAAAAAGCTGTTAACGTTTCTAAGGCTGGGCACACACCTTACAAGCATCGCAATACTTTTTTGTCTTGCGATGGTTGTAAGGTAATTTAAAAAACGTACGATCTGCCCATCTTGGACAGGCAGATCGTACTTGCGATGATCGCAAGCCTGCCTCGCTGAGGGGCGGGCTTCCGATGACCGCAATGCCGAACGGGCAGTGTGCGCTTGCGCACACCGGCCCGTCCGGCTTTTATCTTGCGAACATGCTACGCACCCGCCAAAAATCGTACAATTCTCAGCGGGTTTTCGAACATGTTCGTAAGATAAAATTCGTGCGACCTTACAGTAGTAGAGGTCGCACGGCTTCCACACACCTTACGATAATCGTACGATCGGGGGATTTCCCGCGATTATCGCAAGGTGTATGGGGTCAAATCAACAATTGATTTTGTCTGTAGTCCTAGCAACCAATAACTGAAGAGCAGGGGGGCCTGTGCTGAGCTTTGGCTGGCAGTGTATACACTGGCCCTGAAGGCCAGCACATTCACTGTCAGCCAGCCATAACTGAGCGCAGGTTGGCGATTGCAGCCCAGACTGGACCGCCACTCAGTCCGTGTCCAAACCAGGGGCTCGAAAAGGACAGCCAAAGGGCCGGATGTGGCCCAGGTCCATAAAAAGCCCAGGTCTGGTATAGAGTTTAATGTAGGGGACATCTATCTGATTATTTTTTTCCTTTTGCCTATAGTTCTACTATTAAGGCTTGATCATACCATGTCTTTTGATCTGCGTTTTTCTGAATACATTGCACATATAGGGTTTAAACAGGACATATAGAAAGCAGTTTGCATCCAGGTGCAATTGAGTGCAGGTCATCGCAGCATGTACAATTACCTACAAATGGCTGTCGGCAGTGGCAGCTGACATTGTACATCGCCTCCTGCCTGTGGCTGATCACTTGAGTTTCACAGAGAAATTTGTGAGGCTCGTGCTATCAGCCCTATTCGCAGTTGTGCCTGGGGCGTGGCACTTGACTGGATCCGGAGAAATGGGATCTTACCAAGTTCTGTCTCATTTTAAGACCGTGTTGCAGCTGTGTGCCAGGGAAATCAACTTGGTCTTAAAAACAATTGATGGTTTGGGGCTAACAAGTCTAGCTTATCAAAGATGGTTTTGTCATTCGCGTATAACACCTAAGAATGCACTTTGGTAAATAACATTTTCTATATTTCATCTGTAACAACACTGGGATTGGTGGCCAGGGAGGAAGTCAATATGATCTGAATAAACTAGGCACAGCAAGACCTTATTTAACAGCAAGAAATTCAGCAAGATATTTAGTTCCTTCGCAATGAGCAAAGTGGAATGGTTGCAAAGAGAACTGAAAAACTATTGGGCATCAGAATAAACTCTACACTTACTTGATCATAGCTTGTCGGCAGAAAACATTGATTGAAACACACTTTTGACATGTAGTGCATTGTGTTGCAGCACGTTGCAGTAACTTGCGTGTTAACACAATGCACAATGTGCATTTTAGCTCAACGTGGTGCCATTTCACTTCAAATGGCACCCTAATGCACTAATCAATGCAGCTGAGACACATTTACTGCAGAGCACCACAATACCTGGTAACATATTACCATGTGCTGTGCTGAACAGCGTCAGTTAAAATGTCGCATGTCTGTTTTTTTGGTCCATTCTTTTGTGTTAGAAATCTGTTCAAAATGAATAGGTTTGCCTCAATGCAATGGATGTTAACGCGTGACACAAACATATTAACATTCATGTATTAACGCAACGCACAAGAACTGCAGTGTGGGAATAGTCCCAAGTCATCTATGAAGTCAGTGTGAAATACTGTATTGTTTACAGATTGTACTATACTGCTCCATTGTATTGAGTGCTAAAGTATGATAAATTCTGATAAAGAATACATTATTTTTAGGTAACTAAATGACCATGGAATCTGGTGCAGAGACTCAGCAGGGCGGAGATGCGGCTGTTACGGAAGCAGAAGCCCAACAGATGACTATACAGACTCATCCACAGATGGCAACACTAGCACAGGTATAAATGTGGAGTTACAATGGAGTGAAGACACTGAGATACCTTTGCAGTTCTCACTACATAGTTCCCGCCTGTCACAGTTGTGTTGGCCTCTTTGCTTCAATTAGGGATTTTCAGAGAGGCAGAAGGGGAAGAAATTGACAGAGAAACAGGTTGCTGCATTTAAATAACTGTCCTACAGAGGTAACTATTACTTGTTGAAACAGAATTTCATATCCGACTACTGAATTCTGTGTTACGTCAGTTCCAGGCTTCATACCAATGCCTTTTTAAACAGTAAATAAACGAATGTGACCTAAAGTTGTGTTGTGTCATGATGGCTCTGTTTTGTGTGCGTATTTACAGTGTAACATGTCTTTCTGAGACTGTCGTGTGTGAGCCCTTAGGCCTCTGCTTCATTCTTGAAGTGAAGCTGTTAATAAAATAAAATGGGCCTCAACAACTTCAAGGATTTGGGTAGCCACCTGATTCACCAAGGGGCCTGTTCAGGCCTAAGCATTGTGGTAATGCATGTGTTGCATTTAAGTGTTGTAGAGAATGAAGACAACGCACCTCTGAACCACACCACAACTACTATGAGTTGTGGTGCTCTGTATTGGAAAAAAATAGTGCATGTCCAATTTTTAGTGCTGTGAAAACCCATTCAAATGAATAAATTGCATAGATCTGAATGGGCTCTTGGCCCTGAACTCCAGCCAGGAAGAATTCCATTACATGGTTGCTTCCTTACCCTGTCCAAAAACCTGTCCCTTTGTCCTGTTTTCCATATGGAGTAATGGCTTCCGGTTCCACTACCTCCTTCTAGTAGCCTGCAGAAGAACTGTGACGTGCTTCAATTTGTGGGCTGCTCCGATCTCCACAGTATGGAGGTTTTGTTTGTGCACGCAGTGTGATTTGCAAGTGATGGATGCAGGTATGCCACTTCCATGTTGTGGCTGATTCATCCATAAAGATGCCCATACGTTGTACGATTTTCGTTCGAATGGTTTTGTTTCTGCTGCGGACGCTCGTTCGATTTATACCTAGAATTTCCCATCAAGCATTGTTGAATGTCGATTTCGGATATTGTTCGCTAGCCATACTAACCAACCAATTTTCGACGAGCGATGGGAATATTTGTTTGACCAATGCAGAGAAAGTATTCGTTTGACATAGGCAACTTTCCTTTGCACATGTGCCGTGTCCTTTTGGGAGATTTTGGACGAACGAAAACCCCACTCATTCATCGAATTTCATTTGTCACAGAAAAATTTCAGACGAGCGTATGAAAAATTTTGTTCACATTAACAAAAACGAAAAACCGTGCTGTACCATCAACATTTAAATCCTCATTCGAAAGATCGTTCATGTACGATTTCCAAACAGAAATCTAATGTGTAGGTTGATGTGTAGGTGTGATATTGAGGCCAGGTTCACACCATCTTCCGGACCAGATCTGGAACATGGTGCATTGCGTTTTTACCATGATTTTGCGACGGGTTTTTTTTTCGTTTAAAATTGGCTTATGTATGCGTTCCAGTGCGTTTGTATACGTTTTAGTGTGTTCCAGACCAGGGAAAATGAGACGAGCAGTATTTTTTTTTTGTCTAGCATCTTGGAACGAACTGTGCTGGTGTGAACAGAGCCCAGAAATACGATAAGGATACATTGCCATGTTCTTTTAGTCCGGGAACAAAGTATTGTGGTCTAGACATGATCCGGACATGGTGTGAACAAGCCCCGAGTCTGCTCAGTTTCTCATTCTGAAAGCAGCAGATATTCAGCTGCTGACAAGGGAAATGGAGCCTTCTCTGTAAGTTTGGGAAGAGTTGTAGTGACCACCAGGCTGGATAGTAAGTGATTTGCGTTTTCCTGTTTTACAGCACGAGTTTACTATTGGCATTAAATGGTGTCTGTATTTTCCTGAATACAAGCATAACTTGCATTTTGGAGGGTTGTTATGTCTGTGCTGTATAAACCCTCTTATTCAGCTTGAATTATATAAAATATGTCATGTCGGTTTTTGGGGTTTTTTGGAAGCAAAATGGGAAACTTTAATTAAAAAAATGTAAATGTTTTAAACTTTTTAAATATTTTTGGCCTGTATTCTGGTATTTATAATATTGTGCTTCATGCGGTAGGCACTGAAGTATATACTTGCCAAGGCCCCTGAGAACTGACTTGTCTATCTGCATCAAAGGCCAGCAGTCACCTTTTAATAAACACTCCTCCCAGTTATTGCTGACTTTGTACGCTTTCTGGCATTTGAACACACTGCCCAGTTTGCATGGGAAAATGTTTGGCTGCAAACTATATAGACCAATGATTGCACCAAGCTTTGTTTCCTGTTTGTGTGCACAAAACTTTTCTTGAATCAACTACCACATATGTTTTTCATGAGAAAACCATTTCTATTGTCAGTAGCAGTGCACATTTCCTGGTTTTTCTAAAATGTTTTTCTAAATGCTAAATTGGTGTGACAGAATTCTGAATAAATGTTTCCATTATTTGTCATATCCTATTTAGACTGAGACTAATTTTCCCAATACATTAATCTCTATCACTTTTCATTGACTTTTGATTCTCTGAGATCTCCTGAATGTTTAGAGTTGTCTCATCTATGAAGATTCAAATTATTAATCCAGACAGACAGGACTCGTCATGTGCATACTCAGAATAAAATCCTGGGACAGAATTATTCTGTGATCTGTAGTTATAAGATGTTTGTTCCTTGTCTACTGTAAGGTTTCCATGGCAGCTGCACATGCAACATCATCGCCCCCCACGGTGACTTTGGTACAACTTCCTAACGGACAGACAGTTCAAGTACATGGGGTTATTCAAGCTGCACAGCCATCTGTCATCCAGTCACCACAAGTGCAGACAGTACAAGTAAGTCACTTCATTAATCCATATTATTAAGTGTGTTCTTTTCATGAAATGTCAGTAACCAATGTGAACATTCCTTATTTGTCCATTGGGCTTCAGTTCTATAGAAAAATTGCTTCTTCTTGTCCTGGGTTTTGCTTCATTTTTAATAGAAAGCTATAAAACAGATATTTTCAAAATGCAATGTACACATTTTACTTATCGCAAAGGTTGTACATTTCTTCATGGTAGAAAAATGTTGTTTCCTGGCCATATCCATGGCAGCGCTGACAAATGGGTTTAGATCCAATTACCCCTAGCTGACAGGAACCAAAAGGGTTAAACAAGGCCTAACCCTCTCTATAAAAGCCCCTCCTCCTGCTGACTTCCCCGGTCTTTTTGTTCCTGTCCCCCTAGGACAGGGTTGTTTGTATGTTACTGAATGGGCGTCTAGGTTTTCCTTTGTTAGCATTCTCGACTGGACGTCAGGGCTGCAGTGAATGACCACTTCGGTAGAAGTGTTTTGCTCTCTCGACTTGGAGTCGAGTGATACATTTATTTTTCGCATTCAATGATGTTTGTCTATGGATTTTGTTCCCACCCTTACTTCTGCTTGGGTAATCCCCATTTGTCAGCGCTGCCATGGATATGGCCAGGAAAACAGAAAATGTTATCGTACTTACCGTAATTTTCTTTTCCTGGTTATACTCCATGGCAGCGCTGGGCTCCCACCCTATGGAGTTTTTAGCTTGTTACTAGACTGGGGAAGTCAGCAGGAGGAGGGGCTTTTATAGAGAGGGTTAGGCCTTGTTTAACCCTTTTGGTTCCTGTCAGCTAGGGGTAATTGGATCTAAACCCATTTGTCAGCGCTGCCATGGAGTATAACCAGGAAAAGAAAATTACGGTAAGTATGATTAAATTTTCCGTTGTACAAATCAAAGCTTTTTTACAGTGATATTTTGTGGAGCTTGGGTTGTTTAAGTGAGGGCCCAGTCACACCATAGACACTGTGTTCTGGTGTGGTCCAAGCCCGGAACGCACTGGATTGCATAGATCAGGATGGGGCGGGAGAGGGTGTGGCGGTGCCATTCATGACCCCTGTACAGGTCATGTATAGTGGGAGGATGCAGAATAAGGGAGGTAAAGGTGTTAATATACAGGTTAGAGGCAGAATGGAGATATGCTGCTTTCTACAGTCTCTTCCTTCATTCATTAATTCATACATTCACTAAATCCTGGCTCATCCCCTTCCTTCATTGTGAGAGGACGACTCTTGCATATAAATAGATCAGTGTTTACATTTATGATCACTGTGATTGGCCATCACAGGGGAGGACTCTCGCATGTAAACAGACCTGTGTTTATACTTGTGAGTGCTGTGATTGGCCATCACACTGATTACAAAGTACAGAACCACACTGATTGGCATTGTATATTGTGACCGTGATCTTGTCTGATGATAGCTCAGATCACAGCCATTCACAGGAGCACTGGCTGCCGAAGTATAATTCCTGAAGTGCCGTTTATATAAATCCACATCCCTGCTTTTTAATATAATTAATATTTGATTTTTTTTAAAATCAGACTAGAAATGTGCTTTTACTTTTGTCAGATATCCACAATTGCAGAGAGTGAAGACTCCCAGGAATCAGTTGATAGTGTTACAGACTCACAGAAACGCAGAGAAATTTTGTCAAGAAGACCATCATACAGGTAGGCTTTAAAACAAAGTAGCCATGCATGTCATTTTTGTTCCCCCGATGCAAACTGTAGTAACTTAAATTCTCCATGAGGATACCAGGTTGGCGGGTCTGCTTGGTGGGGTTACCCAAGGACATTGCTCAATGTTTTGAGAAAGAAAAAAATAAGCAGCATTCAGTAGCAGTGCTGTTAATTCCGCTAGAGTTAAACGATTAAAAAAAGGATAAAGTTGAGTAAAAAACTTTTTGATGTAGCTTTTTTTTTTTCTTGGAGTTTATATAATCACCTTTTAGTTTCATTGCATTCAATTTAGGTGATTTACAAAAAAAAAAGTCTGACCTGTGATGATCAGTATAAGGAGGGCAAGAGAGAATTTAGTTGATTTATTCATGTTGGATTATCATGAGCAAGTGCATACAGAACAAAAGAACCTCATCCGCACCAGTCATTTCTCAAGGTTGGATGTCGGAGCAATGGCTGGCATCTCAAAGATGCCAAGAGTGATAACACCGAGCAATGGGTTACCTTTAAAGAAATTAGTAGACATAGAACACTCCAGTTCTTGTTTTTCAGGAATATGATTAGATATGTAAGTAATGAGATAGACAAGATTGCTTTATGCAAACTATAATTTTTCTTTAACGTGAACCTGTAACCAGGTTATGAACAGCCAACTAATTCCATTTGTATGCTAAGCTTTTCTTGACTCCAGTTCTTTTTAGTACTGTAGAGTGATTTTTGTGTGAAACTTCATAGCCGCAGTGACTGGATAGGCTGACTCTTAAGGTGCCCATACACCTTACGATTATCGTACGATAATCGTATGCGATCGACTTTTCGTACGACAATCGTAACGTGTGAATGTAGTGCCCGACCGATAGTACTGTACAATCGTACGACTTTTGACGGTCCAGTATGTTTGAAAACTTTGGTCGATCCTACGATGTTCGCATGGTTGGTGGCGTTTCCGTCCGTCAAAAGCCGTACGATTAACACTGCGCATGCGCAAACGAAAATAATTACGGTCAATTACCGCAAGTCGTCCAGGTGTTTTTGGTTTTTTTACTACCGCTGATTGAACCTTGCGATAATTGGGGCAGGATGGGGCCATCGTACGATTTTCATACGACGGTTCGATCATCGGACGAAAAGTTTAGTCCGATAATCGTAAGGTGTATGGACACCTTTAGGCTGTTCTGCTTCTGTCACTCACTCCACCATCCCATCTGTGATGCTACAGCTTTTTTTAAATCTCGGGCTGCTTATTCTCTCCTGCATGCTCCAAATGGCCTGTGTAATGTGAACAGGCTGTCACGGGTGTGCATTTGATCAGATTCAGCTGTGTTTTTACATGGTGGTTATGATACATCAAGCAGCATATCACAAAGGAATTCAAAATGGCAGCACATGCAGTGCTTTGCAGAGTTAAGTTTTTGGGGTTTAATGCTATCCTTAAGGTACTGGAAGGTAGTTGTGTTTCCATGGACTGGATTGCTTTAAAGCAGAACTCTGGGGAAAATGATTCTTAACCCTTTCAGGGGGCTACCCCTGCACTGCAAGGGTTAAGTGCTCGTTTTTATCTAGGTTAAAAAATAACCCACCCGATCCTCCGAGCCAGCTTGCTCTTAGACCGGTCCCTTCTGCTTCGCTCTCCGTCTGCTGCATGTTATATTTAATGGTGACCACAGTTCAAAAACATACTATAGCTCTGTGGTTATGATCACAATAAAAAATACATATTTTGTCCTCTGAAAAGGGGGAAAATTAGTGTAAGAAAAGTGTGGCATTGTAAACTCTAGAACAGCCTGTGAACTCATTTAGTGTAATTTTTTTGTAAACTAGGGCTAAAAAAAAATTAGGGCTTGAGAGGTTTCATGTGTCTCAGGAAACAAATTTAATATATCTGACCTTAAAGTGACACTAACTTAAATCTTAAAAATACATTCAGGTACCTTACCTATTAACAAAATGTGTATTTGTGTATTACTCAGCTGCACATGCTGAAATCATCTCTGAATTGGTGCTGACACTGTCCTTTCTTCTGGAGGGGGGCTACTTTAGTTCCTCATGGTCAAACTCCTGTGTGTGTTGTAAAGTAGCCACCGCTCCAAACCCACTCCCATGATGGACTATATTCCCATGTTTAGTTTACTAATGTGTATTGAGATTGTAGTCCATCACGGGAGTGAGCTTTGGAGCGCTGGCTACTTTACAACACACAGGAACCATGGGGAACAAAAGTAGCCACAATCCAGAAGGTGCTGACACTGTTTTTCCAATTGAGAGATGATTTGAGGATCTGCAGCTGATTAACATTTTTGTTAGTAGGTAAAGTGACACTTTAATCTTAAAAACGCATTCAAGTACCTTAACTGTCTTAAGGGTTAAAAACTTAAAAGTATAGTATCTTAATCAGAGAAAGTTCAGTCTGTCCCTCTGCTCAGCTGCAGATTTTAAATGTAAGTGGTTAATTATAAACATTTTGTAAATGTTTTTTATTTATATCAGGCAGTCATTTTGAATGATTCTCACTATGACTGCTTGATATTCAATTAATTTTTGGTTATTATTAGACTGCTCCAAACTTGGGAACAGCCAATAATAACCTTAGTGACACTGATCCTGACAGCATGTCCGAATCAGTGCCAATAAAGGCTTCTGATCTTTCCCTGAAGGATCAGAAGCCTGCAACATAATTTCAGAATAGAAATATGTAGCTTTCTATTCTGAAACATTGTAGAAAAAAGCCGGTGCCGGTTCCCCATCTGTACCAGCTGTCAAACCGTGACAGCAAGTGCTGTAAATGCCGCTCTGCCATCACTGTCAGACATGGGATCAGGTTTCTGTAAAAGCTTAACTCTTTCATTAATGGATGCCTCAATACTGATTCTCAGAGGTTACCGGCATTACAGATCCCCAAATAGTTGCTCAAGTACAGTGTACGTGAGTAGTCACTTGAACACTTAGTGGCAGGGACATGTACGTCTCCCGTCACTAAGGGGTTAAAGCAGTATTTTGTTTTTCATTGATTTTGTTTTTCATTGATTTTGTTTTCCCAACATAATATAGTTTGTGAAATAGATTTTCAATTTCTCTCCACAGGAAAATTTTAAATGACCTTTCTTCGGATGCACCTGGGGTTCCAAGAATTGAAGAAGAAAAATCTGAAGAGGAGAATTCTGCTCCTGCCATTACAACAGTAACAGTACCGACACCCATTTACCAAACCAGCAGTGGCCAGTACAGTATGTAGTGTGCACATATTTTGCCTTTTTTAGTTATTGATTTTTTTTTTTTTTAAAGCATGCAATGCATCTATTCAAACATTCTAAGAGTGATTAACTATAAATGTGGATTCCATAGAAGCTTGAAAACTTGTACTTTTATTTCTAAAGAACGTTTACCCAGCATTTACTAAAGTGCGCAAAGAACTCCACTTCAGCAATGTGAAGCCCATGAGCTCCCTTATGAGCGCTGACCTCTGCTAGTATCTTCTGCTATCTTGTTTGGAAGATTGATCTTGATGCACGCACATATGAGTTAATTCATTCCGGCACCCAGAAGATGCTGGGATTGTATACTCAGCTGCACATGTCCAGGTCCATGTAAACTGTAAAATAGTTTGCAAGGCAAGAAGCAATTATGGCAAAAGAGATGTAGTATTTCTCTTCTGCAATGAAGGAAAAAAAAAACCTTCCTGTTTGCCAATTTTGCATTTTTGACAAGATTCCACTTTAACAAATATCACACTGGTGGAACATAGTTGCCAACAGTGCCTATTTTTCAGAAGCCATTCCAAACTTTACATTTTTCTCCCTAGCAATGTATTTGAACACCTACAAAATTAGTTATGCTTTATGATTGTTTATATTTAACGTGTTTAAGTGGAACAAAAGTGAAACTTTTTTTTTTTTGTCTGCTTCGCATGATCAAGATGGAGAGCATTCCAGTAATCCTTATTGCTAGAGACTGGCCCAGGCGCATGTGGTACCCTGACCTGGTAGGACATCTGGTAGATGCTCCTTGGGCTCTGCCGGATTGTCAGGATCTTCTGTCTCAAGGAGCAATTTGTTATCCTGCTTCCAGGTCACTAGCTTTAACAGCATGGTTGTAGAAGCCCAGATTCTAGGGGATATGTTAACTTATCTAAGCCTAACTAGATGCTGAAAGTTAGGAAGTCTATTCGCAAGGTCTGTTATCAGACACTTAATGTGAATCTCAGGGCTTCCTTGTGGGACCAGTTCTCTCCGTCCTGCAGCTATGTCTGAAGCAGCACTATAAAATATCAGGTTTTTCCATCTCCAATTCACCCAAAGAAAAATTCCCTCGGTTGTCTACATGTGGTTCGGGCTGTGAATGCTTCTTGGGCTTTCACATGAATTGACTGTTTCCCTTATTATACAGCGGCTACCTGGTCTTCTGTTTAGAAGCTCTAACAGGTTAACTTTTTCTGTCTCATCTGATGCCAGCTTTGGCCATAAGATCCGTCAGACGGCTCTTTGAGCTGCAGGCAATTCCCAGTTCTTTCTTCTTGGGTCTGGTAGCATTTGTTTGCTGTTAATCACCTCACAGTTGGACTGCTTTTAGACATCCTGAAGGTTGTACGTAAAATCCTTTTCTTGGAGTACATTGAAAGTCACAGGTCCTCACTTGGCTGTGTTATGACCATGCTCTCTGTACTGCTTTTCTACAAAGCTGAAGGCATGCTGTTAGTGGGAGGGATAATCCTGGGCTGACTTACAGGTTGTGGGGTTTTGCCAGTTTCTAGTCCTCCTGTAAAACTGTCATGAGAATGAATATGAAGAAACATTGAGTGTGAAGCAAAATGGGAAACAAAAGACCCACAATAATCCCCCCAAAAAGGCACCTGTTGCTTATCACCATGGTATATGTTTTCAGCCCGTTACTAAATTTGTCAGTATTGTAGAATATTTAGGATTTTTAACTTGGGTTTTATGAAATTTGAAAATTAAACCAGTAGATGTTGGTTGATTCATTGCAAGCAATCATGTAGCACATTCAGAATGCATATACAAACATCTAGGAAGCTATGCAGTTTTGGAACCGTATGATAGCCTTGGGCTATAGACACACATCAGGATCACATTAAGGATGGGGAGAGAAGAAAAACATTTTATAATTTGCAGATATTCATATAATGGACCGGATTGTCTTGTTATATTGCATAATTGGTGGCAATATAGGTTTGGCAAAACGTTGTTAAAGTAAATATGTATAAGCACATGAAGGCACTAATAATTGTAAAGGATATTCAACCTTTGTCTGAGTTAGAAACACCAATCATAAAAAGAGTGCCAGGGACTTTAAAAATAACACTTTCAAAATAAAGAGTTACCGTGAGTATATTCAGCCTCCACCACCAAACCAAAGATTATTAGGGATTTCTCTATTAAGTTATTCCTCTAATAATAATAATAATAATCTGTTTTTGTCAATTTAGGTAAGAAATTCCTAATTTTTTATTTTTTCCCCAGAATTTGAGAATGGGTCTTTTTGCTGTTTTTTATGAGTGACGACCTTAATCATTGTCCTGTATTCTTACATACTAGAAATGTTTCTAAATCCTGTTTCACTCCATTTTGATAGGGAAAGTTATTCATTCTTATACACAGAAATACTTCCAGTAAAACTACAGTACAAACATACAAGCAGAAGGTTCAGCCCTGACTTATGCCATTATCTGTATTCTATTGAAAAATATTCCCAGCGCACACAATTGAAGGCTTACTGTCTGCATGAAGAGTATCAGGGCAACTGAGAAAATTCTGAACATATTAAATTATTTTTTCAGACATGTCCGCTGATGACAAGTGATATGATAACTGGGGGGAGTATTGATCAAAAAGCAACAGAAGCGGGGAAAGCAAAAATCCATAGAAGGAATGAAGCAGGGGAGATCCTTGCACTGTAGGTCCTCCAATATAGCTGTCTCTCTAGTAACCCCTAGGAGAACTGGGAGCACAGCAGAGGCATTGGCAATATAAGTACTTGAATAGTCTAGGGGGTCTCTTTTGGTATGCAAGATTGAATCTTTGTCGTTTTTGAAGCCTTTCCTACAGAGAAGATTATTTTAATTCTTAATATAATTAATACAGCTGCCAGCAATGGATGCCACAGAATATTCACTGAGAGACTAATGAACATTCATTACAGCATTTGCATGTAGATGGATGCAACAAGCTGACAACAGAATATGGATGTTGTAGGGAGAGGTGAAAAACTTTTTGTAGCCACACATTGTCTTTTTGCTATACTATGTCTAGCTGCTTATACAATGTTTAACTTTGAATTCCTTTTTATCTCCCAGTTGCCATTACTCAGGGAGGAGCAATACAACTAGCGAACAATGGTACAGATGGCGTTCAGGGGCTTCAGACCTTAACAATGGCAAACACAACAACAACTCAGCCTGGAACTACAATCTTGCAGTATGCACAGACAACAGATGGACAGCAAATACTTGTTCCCAGCAACCAAGTTGTTGTTCAAGGTGAGCTTAATAGCTTTGTTTTGCATATTAGTCTGTTACCACGAACCATAAACTATTGCAACAGAAAAAACAATGTCAGAATACGCATTAGATCCAAAAATATAGGCAGTGTAAGTTATACATCTTGGCTGCACCCCCCTCCTCACCTCTTGGTTCCCCCTATGGGTCGTCTAAGCAGCATGTCTAATATATGGGATAAAATTATTAATAATACTTGCCAGTCCGGCAGCCGTGGACTCCTATCGTCACTCTCTTACAGAGCTACAGTGGCTGAACAGTCTTCAGTATCTGACACATTCAAGTCCCTTACTGAGTTAAGATAGGAGTTCCTTGGCCCCTTACTGCGCGCTGTAATTCCACTTGTAGACTGTTACATTATTATTATACAGGATTTATATAGCGCCAACAGTTTGCGCAGTGCTTTACAATATAGGGAAGATAGATTTTAATAGATTTTGAGTTTGCTTTGCATGATGCAAAAGGAAAAAAAAAACAATATAGGGAAGACATTACAATCACAATACAAATCAAGACAAGATGGTAAGGAGGGCCCTACCCGTGAGGGCTTACAATCTAAAAGGGAGGGGGAAGTGATGCATGAGGAGGGAGCTGTGTGGGGATGAATTGTTTGAGAACGTGGTGGTTGAGCGGTTAGGTTGAGGTAGGATAGGCTTCCCTGAAGAGATGAGTCTTTAGGGAATGCCTAAAGGCAGTCAAGGTGGATGACAGACGGACAGGTTGCTGTAAAGAATTCCAGAGGATGGGAGAGTCTCTAGAGAAGTCCTGGAGGCGAGCATGGGAGGAGTTGATAAGGGAGCTGGAGAGCAGGAGGTCCTGGGATGAGCGGAGCCGACGGTTAGGGTGATACTTTGAGACCAGGTTTGAGATATAGCTGGGGGTGGAGTTGTGGACGGCTTTGTAACTGATTGTTAATATTTTGAATGTTATCCTTTGGGAGAGTGGAAGCCAGTGCAGGGATTGGCAGAGGGGGGTTGCAGACACTGAGCGGTTGGTTAGCTGAATGAGTCTGGCAGCTGCATTCATGATAGACTGAAGGGGGGATATCCTGTGTAGTGGAAGGCCAATGAGGAGGGAGTTGCAGTAGTTAAGACGAGAGATAACAAGCGAGTGGATGAGTAATTTTGCGGTTTCTTTGGTGAGGTAGGGACGTATTTTGGAGATGTTACAAAGGTGAAGGCGGCAGGATTTGGATAGTTATTGGATGTTGGGAAGAAAGGTGAGGTCCGAGTCAAGGATGACACCTAGGACCTTGGCATGGGAGGAGGGGTGGATAGTTGTGTTATCAATCTCAAGGGAAAAGTTGGGGGAAGGTGCACGGGCGGGAGGAAATATCGAGCTCAGTTTTTTGAAAGGTTGAGTTTTAAGAAGTGTTGCGACTGGATGTAACTGATATGTCAGTTAGTAGATTAGTGACACGCAAGGACACTGAGGGGGAGAGTTGTGGAGTAGAAAGATAGATTTGAGTGTCATCGGCATAGAGATGGTATTGGAAGCCATGTGAGGTTATTAACTGACCAAGGGAGAAGGTGTAGATAGAGAAGAGAAGGGGTCCAAGGACAGAGCCTTGGGGGACCCCTACAGAAAGAGGAGGGGAGGAGTTAGATTTGTAGGTGACGCTAAAGGAGCGCTTAGATAGGTAGGAGGAGAACCACGAGAGAGCAGAGTCTTGTAGCCCAAGTGACTGGAGTTTTTTGAGGAGGAGCAGGTGGTCAACAGTGTCAAAATCAGCATTAATACTGTGTCCAATAGTGACTTAGGGGGTGGACCTCAGCACACATCATAGGAGCAAGCATCTAAAACACCTAAAAGTGATTCTTCATTGTAGGCGTTACTGTCTAAAGGTGCCCATACACCTTACACCCATTGCAAGACTTTTGTCTTGCGATAGTTGTAAGGTCATTAAAAAAAACGTACGATCTGCCCATCTTGGACAGGCAGATCGTACTTGAGATAATCGCAAGCCCGCCCCGCTGAGGGGCGGGCTTCCCATGACCACAATGCTGAACGGGCAGTGTGCGCTTGTGCACACCGGCCCGTGCGGCAATTATCTTGCGAACATGCCACAAACCAGCCGAAAATCATACGATTCTCGGCTGGTTTTCAAACATGTTCGTAAGACAAAAGTCGTGCGACCATACAGTAGAAATGGTCGCACGCCTTCCACACACCTTGCGATTATCGTATGATCGCGGGATTTCCCCCGATTATCGTACGATAATCGCAAGGTGTGTGGGCACCTTTATGGACTGCTAATAATATTCTTTTTGCAGGGTGAATTTTTTCTTTAATATTTTTTTTCTGAAAGCAATCGCTCAAGGCCTAGATTTAAAGCAAAAATATTGTAGCACAGATTAAACTACTAGACCCAAATACTGTATATTAGTTAGTTGAAAAATAACATTTGCTATGTTTTACTGCAGTGTTTCCACAGTCTTGCTGAGTGATTGGTTTAACCCTTTCGCTGCCAAGGACGTACGTCGTACGGAGCTACAAAAGTGCTTCCAGCTGGCCAGCTCAGTACGTAAAAGTAGGACCTCAAAGTAAAGACATTAGCATAAATAAAAATCCACAAGGCTGAATATGAATGCTCTGCTCCGTGCTTATGCAGCAGAGATAAGGAGGCACTTCATTGCCTTTGTGGGATAATAGGGAGCTAAAAAAGTGGACGCTGGTGTATGGTGAAAAAGACATCTGAAGGTCCTAGTCTTTCAGAAACAAGCAGTCCGAATGCCTTATGTAGGACCAGCTTAATGTGAGGTTTTTTTTTTGTAAATGTTCAGTTTTAGAATGGAAGCAAATGTTTGCCAAGAACTTACAATTTAGGCAAAGTACACAGGAGTACTTTATGCTGCCACACAATTAACACTCACACTATAAAGAATCAATGTGTCGCCACTGTGTGCATTGCGGTGTCATTCATTTTGAATGCTCTAGGATTGGATAGGGAACAGGCAGTTTTGAGCCACAGAGGACCAGGTTTTAGGACATTTAGGTTTTCAATCTTAACAACTCTAATGTGGATTAGGCTGTGTGTTTAGGCTCACCCTATGCAGTACTCCATTTACTCTTAGAGGACCTATGCTGTGGCAGATGTGTCCAAGTTGAGTCTAATGGAGGGCTAGTCTTGGGTTTAGGTATATTGTCCTGTGTTTTCTTTTTAGAAAAGCATGTTCTTTACAATGACAAAAGTTTGGAGATGCCCAGTATTTAGAAATCTTAAATTTGGAAATGTATTCTACAGGTATGTATAATATAGTAAAATCTTTTTTGTGTAATACATTTTTAAATAAGAGGTGGAAAAAAGCCAAAGGTCATTACTTCCTTCCTTCTTAATGCTTTACAAAGGTTTTCTTTTGTGGTGAAATGCACGTAAACCTAATTTTAAACTTTCCTGGTCTTAGCTGCCTCTGGAGATGTACAAACTTACCAGATTCGCACAGCACCAACCAGCACAATTGCACCCGGAGTTGTCATGGCATCCTCTCCGGCACTCCCTGCCCAGCCAGCTGAAGAGGCAGCGCGTAAAAGGGAAGTGAGGCTTATGAAGAACAGGTATATATATATATATCTTTCCTTTGCCTGAATGTTTTAAGATTTCTAGATTGTTTCCGGTAATGCGATTGCAGTTTTTACTTTCCTATTGCTTATTAGAACAAACCCAACTCTTTTTTATGAATATTTTCCATTTTGTCATTTTTTTTGTTTCAGCCCGCTGCTTAGAAGCACACTGCGACCTCAGTGTATATTGTGCTTTTTATAGTTTAATTTCCCCCTCATTGGACCCATTTAGGGCTGCAGCTAACGATTATTTTTAAAATTGGTTAGTTAGCCGATTTAATCGGATAAAAATAATAATTAAAAAAATGGCTCCAGTGATGTACTACAAGTTTGGATTGAGATTGTAGTCCATCACAGGAGCAAGCATGGAGCGGTGATTACAACACACACGGGGATCATGAGGATTATAGTATTATATATATAATGTATTATTGCTGGGATTTGTTGTATTCCTCTACAGCTGTTAGTATTCTGCATTGCGCTGTATAATGATTATACAGCGCAATGCAGAATACCACCAGTTGTAGAGGAATACAACAAATCCCAGCAATAATACGATATATAGCGGCACAATGCAGACTACCACCAGCTATAGAGGAATACAACAAATCCCTGCGATACATTATACATACAGTGTATAATGTATTGCTGGGATTTGTATTCCTCTATAGCTGATGGTACATTGCTCTATCAGCTATAGAGGAATACAAATCCCACTATCCCAGCAATACATTATTACAGCACCATGTGGGGGGAATGTGCAGGCAGTCTTACCTAAGCACTCTCCAAGCAACTTTCTTCCTTGAGATCATGGGCCTGTCTGTTGGCAGCTGCTGTTCCCCCCACGCCTGCTCCTCCTGGCTTCATGTTCAGTGTGCCGATCGTGGATGGGCGGGCAGCGGCGAGTCCGTGAGAGCTGGGTGAGGCAGGGAGGAGAAGCGGATCGCGACGAGTCTGTGAGAGCTAGGTGAGGCGGGGAGGAGAAGCGGCATGTGTGGAGCCGTGAGCTGGCCAACTAATCGAAAGTCAACGAATCGATGACGGAAAACGTTGATAACGTTTTCCAGCATTGATTACAATCGACTTAGTGGATTAGGTGTTGCAGCCCTAGACACATTCTCATGTTTGTGTTGCATTAGTGCATGCATGTTAATGTGGGTTAAGCGGCGAATTAAGGCAGCTCAATCACTTAAATGGGTTGCATGTACCATTTCTGGCAGCGCACCCCAACACACTTTGTGCTTTGTTGCACACTGCAAGCAATGCACATCTGTCTGCAAAGTTGTGCTGCAGTGCCAGTCAGAACAAATGGCAACTTGTTGCACCAACTCATGTTATGTGTGTTATAGCAATGCACTTTACCTTAATGCAATAGCATGCATAGAGCATATAGTTTAAAAATCAAAATGGGTAAATTGACCATATAGTGCCCCTTTTATCTCCTCATACCATCATTCCTTTCATAAAAGTTGTGAAATCTTACAGAAGTCAGAAATGTGTGCTCTGGGATGCCACAACAGCTAGTCAAGTGACCAAATTCTTGGGTCACAAAGTTTCTGCTGTAGGGGAGGATAATAGTTTAGTTTGGCTGACCCTTCCCTCCACCTCTCAATACACAGCCCAAGATCTAGGCATTTGGTCATGTGACCACTATGGGATGCCAGAGCACAAGTATTAACAGCAAAGGTAAGTTCAGCACTTCTACTTTGATTTCTGTAAGGGTTTGGGCTATTTGGCACCTTGTCAGCTTCAACCCTATTATTGCCAGCGATTTAAGGTATTCACCACTGGCAGCAGGCCCCTGTAAACAGACTCCCATCGGCTATAGCACTTTCTACGGTGCCCAGGAATGGCATCCCTGGCATTGGCTGGTAGCAGGGAGAGAGACCAGTGAACGTTGGTTCGCTGATCTCCTCCCCGCTGAATGAAGCTAGAAGCAACGCTAATTGCATCACTTCATGCTTCTCAGCTTTCATTCCCCGGCTACAGATGCCGGAGAAGAAGCTGATCAAGCAAGATCTCTGCTTTACCAACTTCATTGAAGGGCAAAGGTGAGATTAGGGATATAAAATACCTCCTATTGTGAGCCCCATATGTAATCGCAATTAGGTTTAAGTAAAAAAACCAAAGTTAAATAAAATGTAAAAATACCTCAAAAAATGCGCGCATGTGTCGGGTGCCCCAACATTCAAAAACGGCGATTAGGGGTTGCCGCGTGCGCCAGTATGAGAGCAATAATTCTATGGCCCATATTCACAGTTAACTCTAACTTATTGACATATATAGTCTTTTAAATCCTCGCCTATGGACAGTTTGGGGTACCTTATTTTGTCACCTCGAGTGCACACAATTTTTAAGCTCGCCATGTTGAGCATCTCGGCACAACTTCATCTTTTAAATTTTTCAAAATAATGGCTATTATATTGTATTCTTGTGCACTAAAATGAACAGTGTATTTTTACTGAAATTTGGGGTTTGATAAACAGTTGCACTAAAATCATGCAACATAAAAATTTGCAGCTGCCGTCTGTTCTTTCAGGTTATATATTATTCTGGGGGGGGGGTTAAGTAAGTTTTCAGGCTGTAAATGGTGGCTTATAATGTGTAGAGAAGGAGAGAAAGGGAAAAAAAAAAGAAGCAAAAACAGCCCCGGCAGTGAAAAGATTAACTGCAGACGAGATATTATTATTGAGAATAGAACTTATGAAATGGGAACTATCCCAGCTCTTCCTGTCCTACATAGTTTTCTATTGCCTTCATAACAAGTGGAGCAGGAGTTTACATGGATGCAAATATTTAAGGGGACCAGTTTGTTTAGAAAGACATAAGTTATTTTACTCAATATCATCATTTTTTTCTGCCTAATGTGAATATATTTGTTCTTATAGGGAAGCAGCACGAGAATGTCGTCGGAAAAAGAAAGAATATGTCAAATGCCTGGAGAACAGAGTTGCTGTCCTCGAAAATCAAAACAAGACATTGATTGAAGAACTGAAAGCACTTAAAGACCTTTATTGCCATAAATCTGACTAATGGGGCAGTTGTATTTAGGATTATTTGTCCCCAATGAGGAGAAACTGGTTTTCCCGCAACCAGATAAACATTTTTTTTATTTTCTATATTTCTCCTTTTTCGCAAAACTGCCTGACCCGCAACGAAAGGATTTCATTCATCTGTGCTTTCGCGTTTAAACTGTGAATGCATCTTGCTCCTGCCTCCGAACCCAAGTGAGTTAATGACATCTTTCAGTCTCCAAGATCAAGAACAACTTTACGAATATTATTTTTTAATCATACCTTTTTACTTGCTTTTCTGCTTTAGCCCTCTTATATTTGCTAAGCACTGTTAGTGCAGGGAGAGCTTGTATATATGACGCATTTGGGCTCCTCTCACTGAAGTTTCTATTAGTACAACTGTATACTGTACTTTTGTGACTGGTAACAGAAGCTGCCCTGCTCTACCTACCGTGTTTACTCCATTATCATTGTCCCCGGAGTAGAAAGTTTGGATGATGCGGAAAATGGGAATTAAAAAAGCAACTGAACCCCATGTGTCAAAACGACCACCAAGCATTTGGAACAAAACCATGTGCTGTTCTTCGGTGCAGTCAGGTGTCTTAGGGGAATTTAATTCACTTGTGTTTTGTTTTTTGTTGTTTTTTTTTTATTTTATTTTTTTACTTGGACTATTATGCCGAGCCAGCTACCACTCAATTTCAATATAGTACATGGCGCCCAGAAATTCTTCAACAAACCTTGAAAAGGATGTCTTTTCTAAGCACACTGAGGTACAAGTGAAATGTTCTAAAGGACTCAATGGTCTAAAGAGGAAAAAAAAACTTTAAAGCACTCCTCATTGCATCTTCATTGTATTAATTTGCAACAATTGCATACCTACATTTCTAAAGAGGAATGCATCATTTGGACAACCCACAAATTACCAAAGCTCTGTGGGCATCGATTGTTTCTCTGTACCGTACCTCTTAAATGTCAAAACCCTATCACCAGCACCCTTTTTGTGGATAATTTGGCTCCACATATGTATTTATGAGGAGAAACAAGCTTTGTTTTGTTTCCTTTTCTTCACTCCCTGTGCTTGGATTTGGAAATTGAAATTGTGCAACATGGGCTTTTATTCACTTTTAAAAATGGTCATATAGTTAAGAGCCTGGTTGCACTTAATAGTTGTGTGGCCATTGGTTTCTTTTTTTGCCTCTACACACAGCTACATTTAAAAACAGCTTACTTTGTGTTTGGGATTTGTTGGTCTTGTAAAATATTTTATGTTGAGTAGAATTATCCTGTACTATTTGAAATACATTTTGTATTTTAAAACTATGATGTATTGTTTGCATCAGAACATTTTTTTTTACTTTGTGTGTGTGTAAGATTTATTTTGTGCTTGTGTGCTGTTGGCTATTGTATATACCCTATTTTACATTTTACACATGTATCTATATAAATTTAATATCTGCACAGTCATACATTTTAAAGAAAATTATAATGCTATTTTTTTCCAAATTCTGAGCTATCCCAAGAAGCTGAGAACACAAATATTTCCTTTGCTTTGATCTTTTTTGCAGAACTTTAAGGCATACGATAGTAACAGACTCTTAAGGTTAGCCTGCAGTACCACAGTTAATGCAGTTGTAACCAGTAACTGGGTTGAGCCTCATGTATTTAGCATTTTTCAGTGTATATAGGTAACCAGTGACTTTGAAAGTCACCCTAATGTTTTCTAATCTGAATATGTTGTTATGGATGAGCTAAACTAGCAAAAACAAACTTGTTAACGACTGTAACAAATTGTTTGCCAGCTTTGTCTTGTCTTAGCATGGTTGTTTAAAGAACTTTCAATACAAAGAAATTAGATTATTTTTCCACTCTGCTATTTCGGTTGCCCTCGTTTCCCTTCTGTGTCTGTCTTTGGTATGTTTAGAAAAATATTTTGCGTGCTTCTGTGTCTAGAATTTGTTTAATTTTGGTTCTGCCACATACCCATGCTATTGCAGCAAATGATAACATTTTATACATGGATTTACAATGCACTGTAGTAACTGGACTGTATTATAAGCAACTTGTAAGGAATGATGGATTGCATTGCCTTGGGGGAAGGAAACAATTGCACTAAGTGCTTTAATTTTATTATACTGAATATAAAGTCGTACCTAAATTGTCTCTAAAAACTTCTCTGTAGGGCTGCATTTAATCCAGTGATCCCGGAGTATAGAGACCATATGACAGCGTCGATTTTATAATTGTGCTTCCAAATTATGTTTATAAGGAAAAATATTTTTTTCTTTGGTTCATTTCTTGTTTGACCCTTTTTTTATCTTGCTTTCTCAAGGTATTGCAGCAAAGTAAATAGATAAAAGGCTAAAGAATATTTATGATAAGTCGTATTCAAGCAGGATTTCAAAGTCAATGGCTGTTTAAAGTTAAAAAGAGCAAAATTCAACACCAATAGTGGCTGTTTGCTAGCATTTTCTTGGTATGTTTCAGGTTAAGTCTAATACAGCATAAAAACGGTCCTACTAAAAACTAGACTGTTACCAGGCATTGTTAGATGCCTAATTACCACATTTTTGTAAAGTTTTTGTATTTATGGCCAGAGCTGTGTACTAGTGTAATATACGAGGTGAGAACTTTTGATATTTTACTGCAATTTGAAGCTTGTACTATAATGTCAATATGATTCACATCATCATTAGTTCAGTATTAATTTAAATTCTGGGGTAACATTAATTTGATCTGCAAGTTAGACTTAGCGGTCTTGTATGGTCATAAATGTTATGCGACATGTAGCATAAAGATGCCCATGCCAGTACATATTGCAAGAAATCTGTAAGAAATAAATCAAGGCAAATGGACTTGCTTTATTTTTCTTGAAGACGTTTCGTTGGTCATCCAGCGAAACTTCTTCAAGAAAAATACAGCAAGTCCGTTTGCCTTGATTGTATTTTTACAAATCTACCATGATTTGGATGAATGAGAACCTTCACAGACGTATTGCGAGAAAGAACGTTTAGGCCTTGTTCACACCAAGCGCGTTCCAGGAGCAGAGCAGTTACAGACCGGAGCAAAACTGCGTCCAATGTATTCCACTGCTATTTTTAGCTCCAGTTCACATAGCAGCGTTCCGTTCCAGAGCAGGTAAAAAAAACTGCAGCAGGCCCTATTTTACCTGCTCTGGAACGCATGCAAACGCACGCAAACGCACTGAAAGCCCATTTGAAACTTTAACATTTTTTGTTTCACAGAAAACGGCCTGGAACGCATCAAAAACGCGGCACAACCCACTGCACTGCGTGTGCAGAAACTCATGCAGATCTGCTCTGCATTTGGTGTGAACAAGGCCTTATTGTAATTAAAGAAATAATTTATTTTGCCATTTGGTTTTGTAGTGCACAAATAACAGATGAGGAAAAATTATCTTTTTATATCCATAGAATAACGCGTGTATACATATTGTAGTGCCATAATATGTGTATATGCATAAAATGTAATGCTGTATTATGTTACAGAAGCATAATGTTTGACAAAGTTAAAATATTACCCTTCTCGCTTCCTAAAAATACCTTCTTCTTTTTTTTTTTGGTCCCATGTCCTTCATAGGACATTGGTGGTTTAAGTTTACACTCCAATTATAAATGGATACAAGGGACTCAAAACAGTTGTCCAGTGCTTTAGCATCCTGCAATGGTTTGTACACCAGATCATGCATCTGGGTGAATCTTCTACCCCAAATTTACCCTTCTGCTGTCTTAAGAAATATTGTGAATAATAAGGCTCAGTTCTTGGCAGGAGACAGCAACCCATGTGGTGGTACTTTAAAAGGATAACTTTACTTTTAAAAGAGCAGTGGTTTATTTGTCTGCCTTTAACCCCTCCGGCATCTCAGTCTAGCATAGTGACAAGTAAGTTTAAGAACTGCAGGGGGGGAAAGGGGGGTGGGTGAGGGTTGCAGGAGAGGATTTGTTGTGTGTATATATATATATA